GTCTGCCCTGTCAAGGAAATTTTAAAGCTTGAGGGAGGAGTTGGCATTTGAGATTGATGTTAACAGATGAGTTGGATGTCATCTCATAAGCACATTATAAATTGAACTGGGGCAGGGAAAGAGAGAGGGAGGAGGGAAAAGTGCATCAGTGAATGAATGAAGACCCAGTCTTTCTGGAAACTTTTGTTAAAAATCACAATCTGAAAAGCTAAACAAACAAAACCTAATAAGTGGGATTTTTAATAAGCAGAGATTCACAGGTAATTGAAAGGATGGTCTATGTGGAAGTCATCCTAGGCCAAATCCAGAGAGGTGTGTGAGCTTAAATGAAGAATAATGAGAGATTTAACTAGAAGAGTACTTTGAAGTCAAATTGAAGTCTTCAAAGTCAGATTAAAAAGGAACCACAGAACCACCAAGGCTATTAGCAACGCTAGTGCTGTGCTTCAAAAAGATTAATTGGGTGGTTGCATGGAGGATGGAGCAAAGAGAAATGTGTGCAGGGAGATGAGGAAGGAGGCTCCACAGTCACCCATCTTCAATGTGAAATATGCTCAGGAACTAAACACAGAACTAGTAAACACAGAAAACCAGAAAGTCATGCTCAAGATGCAAAGCGTGGGTTAAAAGAAAAAGATGTGGTCACCTATCACCTAGCGTTTTCATGCCTTTGAGTGGATAATTTTCTTTGATTACAGAATATTATTGTCTCAAGTATTTCAGATAACTTTGTATTGTGACTCAATAAATCACAGACTCATAATATTCTGTGACTGAGAAAGGATCTCAGAAATCCTAGACAAAAGTTATTCAGAGTCAACAAAGTTAACATAATCTTGGAGACACTTAGTGTTTAGCAGCAGGACTTGGGGAAAGGAGTCCTAGGCCTTGGCAATTCCCATTAATCATCACAAAGCTTTTCTAGAGAAAATTTGCAAAGAGCAAGTGGCATAATTTGGACAAAGACAAGATTGGAGCTGATGCTTGGCTAAAGTAATATGGAACAATTTCAGGACTAATTAGAATCCCAATTCTCTTCATATTACAGTCTGAGACAGAAGTCTCCAAAATTTTTGCAAGAGGAGATGGCCAGAGGCCAAGGGCAAACAAAGATAAATTCTGTATTTGGGTTAATATACGCTAGAAACGCCTTCAGAATTTCAACATAACCGCGATCTTCCTTTTCTCTCTCAAAGTTTTCCAATAGTTTGACTTAAGAAGCTTGAACTCTCTCAATATTAGTTCTTCATTTCAGGGAGGGAAAAGGCATACCCAAAAGCAACTTGGATAATTTCAAAGCAAAATCCTTCCTGCTAACTTAATCACAGGAGAGTCACCGTGGCTGCTCTGCTTAGCCATTTCTCAGTTTGAACAGATTCCAATCATACCAAGTATTCACTACTTGGAGGCAGTTTTTGAAGCTATTGTTTCTGTTGTTACTCAGTAAATTTGTACATCTTCATTCTTTTGATGGAAGCAGAAATTTTCCCACTTGTTGTGATGTACAGTTCTGTCTCATGGCTTCAGGAAACCTCATGAGAACTGAACCCATCCGACTGTTGATACAGAATAACACATATTTTTTTAAATATTGTTTTAAGTCTTTGTTGTCTCATAATCAACAAACCAAGATGGCTCATGGTCAGGCAATTTACCTTTCCTGGAAAAGCCAAATCTTGTTGAAGTTACTGTGAGTAGAGATAAAAAGATGGGAAATACAATTAGGGAGAAATGGACAAATGGGGGAAACAAAATCTTCCAGGCCCTTCCCAAACATTTCCCAGCAAGAATCTCTACTGACAGTAACTAATACCCCATTGTAAAGCAACACGCGCTGGAATCCTGGAAGCAGAGTAATGCTGGTGCTTCCTCACTACCACTGATGATTTCTTAAGTAGGAGACAGGATAGAAGGGGTTAAGATACCACTAGGGGCTAAGGACACAACTCCTTCACCTATTGCTTGCTAAAAACTCATAAATCACAAGGGGAAGATCTAGTTTTGAAGGTCATTTCATGACAGTATTTTTGGTCTTAGCTACAAATTTACAGAATTCCTGGGAATCAAATCCACTTGCTTGCTGCCTTTTGGTTGTAAGAAGCACTGCCAGGGAAATTCCAAGTCTGGCAAGGAGTGACTCACAGGATTGCTTTATCCTTACGGTAACTCCCCTGCCTGGATTTCTCTGCTGACGTGAAGTAGAGGGTTGTTCAGCACGAGAGATCATCTCCACTGAAGAGGTAAGAATTTGGAAAAGAATGAAAATGTAATACTTTCCCATCAAGTAAACCCCAAGGCAGCCAAATTGACCAGATGCTCCCCTGTGCTGCTTGGCCAGTTAGAAGGCTTGCTTTTCTTGTCTTGCAGGATGTGGTTACTGCTAGAAGCCCGTGATCACAGTATATTGCTTCTTTTCCTTCTTTCTAAATGAGAGTATTTATTTTTGTTATTAACTTTTCTCTTTCATGCTATATACTGTGGTTTGGGAATGGATAAATTTGCCCGTTTCTTCATGTTGCTAAACACATGAGAAGCACATCTGGAGATGATCACGAAGCACATATTGTCCCCAGAAACCCGGGTCTTAAAGCTGGATGCAGGAGCAGATCTGCTACTGTCTTCAGCTAATGTTCAATTTTTTATTTTATTTGCCACATTTCCATTATCTTAATGGAGGATAGTTTTCTTAATATTATATTTGCATAAACAGTGAAAAGACAGAAAACGCCAAGGATTTCATCCTATTTGGCTCTATAATCAATACTTACAGAAACAGTAGTTCAAAAATCACTGGGCAAAGCTGCTGCAAAAGACCTCATTAAAATGCTAATGAGCAAGAATGCCACTTTAAGGACTAAGGTACACTTAATCCAAAGCATGGTTATTTCCAGTGGCCTCATATATATGTGAAAGTTAGACAATAGGACTATAGAAGAACTAATGCCTTTGGATCATAGTGCCTGCAAAGACCATACTCCCAAAAGAACAAGCATATCTGTCTTGCGAGAAGCACAACCCAAATTCTCCTTAGAAGTGAGAACAGGAAGACTTCCCCTCACACATTCTAGTGATGTTTTCAGGAAGAGCCAGTCTCTGGAGAAAGACCTCATGCCTGGAAAAGTGGAAGGTCAGCAAAAGATAGGAAGACTCAAAAAGCTGGACTTGGCCCAGATACTACAACAGTGGGCTCACGTATGTCAGTGGTTGCGAGGACGGGACAGGATCAAGCTGTGCTTCATTCTGTGGTTCACAGGGTCCCTATAGGCCAGAGTCCGCTCATCGGGACCTAGGAGCATCAACATATGTGAGCGCATATGGAACAAAAAAGGAAAGAAGTGGAAAGTACTGGGATTCTATAGCTTTGTTCGGGCTTTCCAACATGTTTACTTTACTAACAGGTATCTTGTCCCCTCCCAGTGTAACCCTGCTTGGGTTGTTAATCACAGCACTTTGCCCTTGACCATCCGTGCAAGTAAGCACAAGACCCAAAGTAGTCCAATCATACTACTCTATCTCCTATTAAGTTATCCATCCAAGAATGATCACTCAGGCCAGGAACTGAAACTTTTTCTGTTCTCCTTTGTTAAGAATGCAAAAGTAATATAATATATGGTATTAAATCCTAACCTCTAGATCACCCATTTGGTAATGAGTTTTCTTTGTTACATTAATAAAATAAGATTATTGTTAGTGATGTTGTTATATACCATCAAGTTGACTCATAAACCGACCCTCCAGCAGGTTTTCAGAGGCATTGACCTGTATAAAAACTGTATAAGAAACTGTTCACCTTTCTCCCTCAGAGAAGCTGGTAGATTCAAACCATGTACCTTTGAAACAGCAGCACAGCTACTTACCCTTAAGGCATCCGAGCTCCCTAAGATAGAATTAGAGTAGAGTATATCTTTTTTTTTTTTTTTAGAGTAGAGTATATCTTAAGTCAATCTCTTTTCAGACAGGGAAGAAATTATTAAACAAGTAATACAGAGATAAATCTAAGCCAAAAGAGGGATGCCAAACAACATGACAATCGGCCAGGAGCAGAAGCTAAGAGACCTTCCCCCAGAGCTGACAAAGAGAAATAGTCTTCCCCTAGAGGGTAGACCCTTAATTCAGACTTCTAACCTCTTAAGCTGTGCGAAAATCCATTTGTTTGTTTGTTTGTTTGTTTGTTAAGCCACCTCTTTGTGGTATTTTTCTTACAGTAGCACTAGATAACCAAGACAGCACTTCCTACCCATGTGAAAAAAGGGAGACTAATCCACACTGGGTAAAAGAAAATGTGAGACCAGTTCACACTGAAAATACAGAGCAGAGAGGAGACATATGGAGACAAGAGGCATGAGTCTTGTTAGTGGTGCTGGACGGATGGAAGATAAAATCCTGCTAGTGGTGTCAAATCTCAGGTTCCAGTTCCTGCAGTCCTAACAGGCAGCCTGTTTACTGACTGCATGCTCTTTCCTCTGGTGCTGTGCTTCTCTTTCCAGAGGACGTGGGAGAAACGCAGGCCTTGTTGTTGGCTCAGGGGACTTTGGAAAGAAAATTCCAGAACCTCAGGTTCTAGAGAAATGTCTAAAAGAGAGGTGTGTGGGCTCCAGATGCCCATTCCTCTTACAACCCCTCCCTCTGCACCCCTCGCATAACCTCAGCAGGTTCTCTGAAACCTGGTGTCCTGGGCGAGGGTCCATGTTTCTCAGGTAGAAGGGTGACGCTGCATGTGCAGACTGTCACTTCACCTGAATCTTCCCGCTATCTATTTTTCCCTCATGGGGAAAGAATTCGACACTGCTGCTCCTTTTCTAATTCCATAATCTCTACTCCTATCACCACCACCTCGTCCTTTCCATCTGTCCAGCTATTGTTATTTTGCCAAAACTAGAACAATTTGTGTTTCTATCCCTTGTGACAATTTAAAAAGAAATGTATTAACATGAGCTGAATGTTGCAGATTGAAGAGGGAAGAAACCAGGACAGCACTTGTAGGCAGAAAATGGTTTTACCTTTTACCTGAGCCCACACTGCACATGAGTATCTTCTCACCTATAAAGGAAAACAAACCAATACATTTAATAATACAGAGCATGGGATTAGTTTAAATAATACATGTTAGTCCTCCATATGTTGTCTTTTCCCTCCCTCTGTTTTCTTGAACTAGATAATTATTAAGGTCACATCTAGCTCAAACATGTATGATTCATACCAAGTTATTCAAAGGACTGGCACAGAACAGCCATGCAAAGGATCTCTTCCTATAACTTTCCAACATCTCATAAAGCACGTATTATACGTGAATAACAGGAACAGCATGAGTTTCATTCCCTTTTCCAGGTCTGGGCATTGACTTCCTGGAGAACTATGCTGAAAAGAGCCCTGTGTTTAAGTGCAGGTGCGGCCAGAAGTAACAGTGCATGGTATAAGGAAGGCTATGAAAAGGCCTGGTGTTTAATAATACCTTACCAGTCTGGAAAGCAATCTTAGTTACCTGAACTTAGTCAAAACCCAGAACAAAAGGAACACAATAGAAAACCTAGACCATGGTAAAGAACACCCACAAACACATTGGAATAAAACACTCTTTCTTCTTCTGCACTCCCACTATCATTATGTAGTTCTTCCTTAGGAAAAGATGAGTTTTACATGATGAGACTCACTAACCCATTCCCCAAAGGAATTTGATTACTCATTGTCATTTAGTCAGTAGCAACTCACAGCAAAGTGACCCATGGTTACCCAAGGGAAAAATCTTTTTATGGAAGTAAACTGTCACCTCTTTCTCCTGTAGAATAGCTGGCTGAAGGGTTCAAACCACTGAGCTATCAGTTAACACCTAAGCACTTAAACACTATGTCACCAGGACGCTAGTTGTTGACTTTTAAAAGAGGAGTTTTCTCTTAAAAGGTATAGAAAAAAAGATTCAAACCAGAGCAGTGGACAAGATCCTCAAAAAGATTTTCACTGACTAGAAAGGAAAACTTCATGGGTCTAAATGTGGGAGGGGAACAGAGTGAGAATCCTAGAGTGACAGTGCCTCCTCTAGAAATCAAATTCTGATTCACATTTGTAGTTCCAAAGTGTGAAGGAAAATTGACTCAAGAAATAACAACTCAGGATCCCAAAACCTTACAGCAAATGTCTATGCTAATGACAATCTAACCAGTTTACAGGCACTCCCAAGAAAGCAGCTTACATAGAACAGATTCATTTAAAGACCAGTAGGAAGAATATCTGGACAAGCTGAGCTCAAGTCCTAGGTCTCAGGACCGGGTAATGAGGAGAAAAGTATAGGATTATTCATCTGTCCCTTTTTCATTTTTTAGATGGCAAAATTGTCACCTATGGTGACTGTCACCTATGGGCATCTGTCACCTATCACCAAATCAGTATTACTTCAAGATCTGTGTTATAACAATGGAATGAGCATAAGGAGAAATAACTCTTCCAGTAAATTAATTACTTTATTATTTTCCAACTCTGTGATCTTTCTCCCTCATCTTTGACATAAAATCTGTATGAGAGACTTTTTTAAAATTTAAAAAAAAATGAATTTTCTTTTAAATTGGTTTGCTTACAAAGTTCAGACATAAAATTTTTTAAGGTCTCTTTTTAATGGAAAATGCCTAGAAACAACAGGAATCAATAATAAATCACTACTGATTTTAATGACTGTAAAACTGATGTCTGTGTATTAACCATTAGGATAAATAATTGTAATTCAAATATGAAATTCAAGTATAAATAAAGCTCCTTAACCTCCTTCTGCATCCCAAAGAACAAGCACATGTTCTTCTCAGTTACATTATAAAGCAGTTATCAATAACATCACAAGAAAGTTACCTACAAACTAGACTTACTATCCTAACCTCCAGAATCATTCCTTTGCAGACCAAAGTCTGAGACTAGTCAGTTCTTTGAGGAGTCTCTAAATTGTACTCATGCTGTACTAGCAGTTCCAGGTCTATGGAGGAAAACTTCAAGTGAAGATCTCAATGTAATTGTCTGTAAAAAGGCCTTCTTTAAGTTGTAAAACTTCTTAAACAAGTTAAGGACAATTCCACTCTTAATTTCTACAATACTGTTATAGAACACTACCAGACCTCTTTTGCTACTTAGGTATATTCTTAAAAGGAACCACTAGTTTTCAAACACTTTGAGGGAATGAATCACTGGGCTCAGGACCATAGTCTCTCAGGACATCAGAATAAAATAGAATAACATAGTCCACAAAGATGATGTCCAGCATCCTATGTTGGTGAGAAGGAACTGTCATTATGTGCTGTTGACTGTGACTCATAGCGACCCTATGTGCAATAGCCCTAAACCCTGCTCTATCCCATGCCAATCTTATTGTCTCCAACACATCCCTGTCACCCCAGCCACTGAATCAATCCACCTCATCAAGGGTCTTCCTCTCCTGCGCTGTCCCTCCACCCTCCAAGCATGATGTTCCTCTCCAAGGACTGGTCCTAAAATTTTGTAAGTGGCTATTTAAAGTGAAATTACTGTCCTCTCCCTATCAAGAGGAAATAAGAGAGAAGAAAATCAAAGACACAAGGAGTCTAATGGACCACACCGAATCCCAACCTTTATGATCCTGAGACCAGAATAACTAGATGGTGCCCATTGATCACTGTAGACCATTCTGAAAACAGGGTCATAAGAGGAGGTCTTAAAGAAAGAGACAGGGAAAACATTAGGCAAAACACAGATCATATTAAAAAGCTGACGTGGTGGTCTACTAGAGACTGGTGGGACCCCAAGAATGTAGCCCTCAGCCACTCTCCAAGATTAGAACTGAATGTATCCCTGCAGCTCAACATTCAGCCAAAAATTAGGCCCATAGGTTAAAAAAACAACCCCAATGAGATATACACATCTTAGAACAAGCAACAGCACAAGATCAAAAGGAAAGAATTTGCTCAGAAATAAAGTTCAGAAGGCCAGTAGGGATAGGAAAGAAGGACAAATGAGCACAGTAAACACAGGGAAAAAGTGCAAAGAACATGATTAAAATGTGGGGATGGAAATCAACATCAGAAAACAAAATGCTTATGAACTGTAAAAGACAAAAAACACATGTGTCCTATAAACTTTCACCCAAAGCACAAAGAAAAATGAAAAGTAGCCACTGCTTTGACATCAAGCATTATAATAATAATACATTAGACCTGGATATAGAGTATTTGCATTTTAAATATCTAATGAACTTGATGGCAAGAATGGTGAAACCTTGTCTCACATGCTTGAGGCATGTTATTAGGAGGGACCAATCACTAAAAAAAGGCTTCATGTTGGGAAAGGTTAAAGGTCAAAGAAAGAGAGGGAGACTCTCAACAAGATGGCTTAGCACTTAATGACTGGAACCAACGCTTGAGCATACCAGAGATTGTGAGGATGGGGCAGGAGCCAGGTTGTTCTTAGGGTCACTATGAGTGACGTTGACTTGTTGACACCCGACAACAGCACCAACAATAGTGAACTTGACACCCAAGAGGGCTACATATTCCTTCCTTAATTCCATCAGTCAAGAGATGTTTGCACTGTTGTTGTTATGTGCCGTCAAGTCACTTGTGACTCATAGCAACCCTATGTAAAACAGCTCTAAACTCTGCTCTGTCCTGTGCCAATCTCATTGTCTCCGACACACTCATCCCAATTGCCCCAGTCACTGACTCAATCCACCTCCCAGAGGGCCTTCACCTCCTGCACCTGCCCTCCACACTCCCAAGCATGATGTCCTTCTCCAAGGACCGGTCTCTCCTTACAACATGACCAAAGTATGTCAGACAAAGCCTCAGAATCCTAGCCTCCAAGGAGCAGCCTGGTTTAGCCCTCTCCAGGATGAATCTGTTTGTTTTCTTAGCAGTCCATGGTACATTCAATACTCTTCTCCAGCACCACAGCTCAAAGGCATCAATTCTCCTTCTATCCTCCCTAGTCATTGTCCAACAACTCTCTGATACATAACAAGTGATTGCAAAGACCATGGCATGTACCAGATGCACCTTAGTCTCTAGAGACACACTGTTGCTCTTCAGTACTTTAGAGAGGTCCCTAACAGCAGACTTTCCCATTGCAATACGTCTTTTAATTTCCTGGATGCTGGTGCCAAGAGTGTTGATTGTGGAGCCAAGCCGACTAAAGCTGTGAACAATCTCAATCTCTTCACCTTCCATCTTGATGCTGCCAATTGGCCCAGTGGTGAGAATCTTTGTCTTCTTGGCATTGAGCCTCAATCCATATTGAAGGCTACAGTCCTTGACCCTCAGCAGCAAGCACTTCACGTCCTCCTCAGTTTCAGCAAGCAAAGTTGTGTCATCTGCATAATGCAGATTATAGATCTTCCATGAATCCTGATGCTGCATTTCTCCTCATAGAGCCCAGCCTCCCAGATAATCTATTCTGCATACAGGTTGAAAAGGTATGGAGACAGGACACATCCCTGGTGTACGCCCTTCCCAATTTTGAACCATGCAGTGTTTCCTTGCTCTGTTCTGACAACTTCCTCTTGGTTCAAGTATAAATTCAAGTATAAGTTTCACATGTTTTCATTAATATAAATAAAGTTTTTCTACTGTTCAGTATCAACCCACAAGAATTTGTCTACTACTTAGTGGTCTCTTAAGGCAACCACCACAAGGGTTCTTCCAACAAGATCTACTATCCCTGACAGACTGATGCAGCTCTTGCTAATCCATGACACTGGATTGTTGTACTTACTCCTTGTCTACTGAATATTTAGTATATGCTTTATGACAGAACTAGCCCTGGGAGAACAACAGCCTCTCTAGGGCCAGGGAAGAGGGAAGGATGGCCTGTAGTCAAGGCTGTGGTATAAACAGAAAGTAGGGTAGTGCTGTGCTTAGGTGGCCCCGTCCCTCCCGCTTCCCGGGAGAATGATGGGAAGCAGCAGCCTGGCAGGAGTACAAGGAAGTGGACAGAGGGATCAAAGTGTTCCTCTCCAGCGTAGCTCGTAGTAGTGCCAAAGAACGAGGGCATTCTGTGAGGCTTACAAGGAAGAGCCAAAACCAGCCCAGTCCAAACACAGATCCAATAAAGGTCCCCCAGGAAATTCAGGTTATCTACCAGAATTTAACACTGGCCATATTTATAAAGGCAAAATGTTCTACCTAAGATTAATAAACACATTTTTATAGTTATTGTATAGCTCAAAAGTGGGGAAGCAAATATTCAAACATTTGAATTTTATGTGAAGAATGCAAAATTCACAGAGGCTTTTAACTATATTTACCTTATTCCATTCACTTGTGATTCGTAATATAATGCAGTAATCATTCCCTGTTTTCAAGGGGGCATTGTAGTATTTCCCATAGTACAGCCTGTCTCCAATAGATATCTCCATTGCATCATCAGAAACGTCTGTGGCCAATAGTTCTGCTGCCACGTATCCATCAGCATCTGTGCCATTGCTAAAGAATGAGGTAGCTGCTTCAGAATCACAAGGAAATGTGCTTTCGAGAGTCAAGGGAAGCACTAGCACTTGATAAGAACTAGAAGAAAAAAGGAGTTGTCCATTAGTCACATGTCTAGAAGGAGCAATTCTGGTTTTCACACTTAATGGGCACCGTCAATAATAGCCACTTCAAGTATAGCCACTAGGGATATAACACTGGACAAGAAAAAGCTCCTACTTATATGGGATTTAGGGAGCACTGATGACATACTCCCTAGTGAAGGGGCGATGTTAACGCAAAGACTGCATCTCTCCAGCAGTTCAAATTCATCAGTGGCTCCTAGAGATAAAGATGGGCAGTCTTCTCCCACTGCTATTACAGCCTCAGGACTCCAGTGGAGGGTTAATTTGAGTTGGAACTGACTTAAGTGAGTTTTGATTAACCCAGATTTGACTCTGGGATTTACAGTCTGACAGCTGCAACAGGCAGGGGAGTCATTTCTTAGCCAGTGTTAAACCCAAATGACATGGTATGAGTGACCTCTCCAAATCCAAGCTGCAGAAGGATGCCAAGTGCATGCTCGTCAGCGAGGAGAACTTGTTGCGTGTGTAGCTACTATGTGTGTGTCATAAGGCTGATCTAATTAATCAGTGACTTTCACATGGTCAGATAAAGTCTGGCTGTGGAAAGGCTTTAGCAATCACATGAAAGCAGAATGCCTGCCTACAAAAGCTATGCAATAAGTTTGCAAAGGGCTTGCCTCGATCACATGGGCCACCAAAAAAGTACTCTTTGATTTACATTTCCTACATTCCACTTTACATTTACATTCCACTGATTGATACCAAAGTTTATGTGAAAAGAGAAACAAGGGTGAGGAGAAATCACTGTTTATCTAGTTTGGCAGTATGCTGAAACTGCCAACACGTAAAAATGTTACATGTACATTGTAAAACTGTTTTCTCTATGTAGACATAGAAACATACTAGCAGTCAGGCAGTCATGCTGTCAGGTGTTTTACTGTGACTCATTACACAAACTAGAAAACTTGTCACTAAAAGAAAATTAAGAATGAAAACACATGAGAATAAATCACATGTGACTTTCTCTTGTCATCTATTCAGCCCTAATCTGCCACTAGCAGAGGATGTGAATGTCTGCCTTCATCAGACTTGAGGGCAAGGCCTGGAATAGTTTATACTCATATCTTTTCAAAGCCATACCCTATTCTTTTGCTATGATTAGTTCTCCATTAGTGTTTCCTGAGCTATAATTCCAGTGAAAACGAAAAGCATGTAGTAGCAGTAAATATGATTACGGCCATTTTTTAAACTCATTAGGTCAGATAACTGTATTTTGCCAGCAAACATTTGCTTCCTGCTCCACATACTTAATGCCTCACCTCCCACCTCCTATAGGCTAAGCAGCAGGGAGCCTACACCACCAGCAGGTTTTAGGTGCAGAAAGGTCATCACATGTAGGGCTCCCAAACACCAGGGACATAAGTAAGAACTGTAGGTGTCTCCCAGGTGAACTGAAAGACCTGATTCTCCACAATATTTAGATTAATTTTCAGCAAAGGACTTTCTAATGAAAGCTTCAAGTGAAGAGCACCACTGCCAGTAAGAAACCTGGTAAGGGAATTCCTGTAATGATAAATTTCCAGGAAACCTGTAGACATCTTCATGAATCATGGTCACTATGGCTCAGTGTTGAGTCAAACAATAGACAGGCCTGTAAGAAGAGTTGACACCAGGGAGGCACTCAATTAGTAGGATTATCAACCATATAAGATCAAAACAGCAGCATTTTCCCCAGGGACATGGCTCAGAAAGCAGGAAGGGTTAGGATAAAGGGATTAATACACATGAGAATCATAGGGAGGAAATGGGAAGAGTGTGGCTACATTGTGGCAACTGTATTAATGTCATAAAATGTGCATGGATAGTAGAATAGAAAACAAATTTGTTTGGTAAATCTTTGTTCAAATCACAATTTCAAAACATTTTAAAGTACACATGCACACACAAAGTGAATGTGGCAGCAGTTCCAAGCTAAGAACTTATCTACAAATCCCTCTTTTCCTGGTAGGTAGTGCTCAGCTGGAATGCTCCTTGGAGGCAAGGATGGTGAAGCTTGATCTCACATAATCTGGGCATGCTGATAGGAGAAGGTGCTCCTTGGAAAAGGACATCATGCTTGGGAAGGTGGAGGGACAGTGAAAGAGAAGACTCTCAACCAGGTGAATTGACACAGTGATGGCAGCAATGGGCTCAGCTGGGTCAGAGATTGTGAGGATGGCATCAGACAGGGTTCAAATCTGATGTTCATAAGATTGCTATGAGTCGTACTAAACAGCACCTAACAACAACAGTGGCATTCTAAGGCTTATCTGAACTCATTTGGTTCTGTGCATTGTCCACAGCCACCCAAAGTAAACCCACTGGCATCTAGTCCATTCTGACTCACAGCAATGCTGCACGACGGAGTTAGAACTGCTGTGTAGGGTTTCCAAGATGTTGGAACCACTGAACTTTCAGTTAGCAGTCAAATGCTTTCCCCACCACGTCATGGGTTATTTGACATAGAGCAGTCACTCCAATTTGCTTTATAATGATCATCTGAGTTTCTCATGAAATTAAACTTATCCCTAGTCATACTAAATTGCAATTTTCAGTAGTCTTGGAATGTGTATTGCTGATAAAGCACAGATGATTCCTATAATCTGGCAAGTGTAGGAGACCTTAGTCTAGAGTAAACCAGCAGTAGAGTGTATCATCTACCGAAAATTAGCAAATTTGGGAAGGGGGCCTCGTTCTCAGCTCCTGGTTGTCTCACGCACTAGCAAAGGTGCTAACCAGGTGGGCTGGCCCAGGAAACTGCCCCTCTTGCCTGCTGGTCATTAGCCCTGATGACGTTAGGGAAACAGGGCTATTTGGAACATGAGTGCTCTGGAAGGCCTTCTCCCCTCTTTCTCACCACCACCCTCCTTTAAATGACTCACAAATCCCCACTTCCTGTTTTGAAGGCAATGGTCAGCACATAGCCACAAGAGCAAACTGTCATTTGGCTTTTCTTTTTGCCTTACGTAATCATTTGGTTTAAGTATCACATTTGCTCTTGCAAATTTTCTCAGGTGGTGATGCTGCAACTTCTGATCTCTCTATAGCAACACAAGTGCATCAGCTTCCAGTAACGTATCAGGACTCGGGCTATACAGCAGTTTATCCAAGGAAATAAATGGAGAGGCCTTTGTATGTTTGCTCAATATAAACTAATGTAAAAGCATGACAAGCCTATGTTTTATTATCAGTGGACATACAGATATGTTCCCAGATGTTCTTTTTCATAATTTTATACTATATATATCTTTTCACCTTAATTGTACTGAGGGGTCCCTGGACTGAATGGTCAAGAGATACATAAGGCAATGTAGGTTAGTTAGGTCAAGGGATTGTCATCTACTTGGCCTGTTTCTGTGAGCAAGCTCTTTATTTCTCCAGACAAATCTAAATCTTCCCCTCTAAAAAAGAAGAATAAATTTCTTTTTCTAATCCTACCATGACCTCTGTGAATAAAATGCTTAATTGAGCACAATGTATTCCTCCAACAGAGGTAAATTATTTCAACTAAATACCATGTGGAATCCAGAAGTGGTCATTAACTACACGGTGTCTTGCCCATAATTCACACATGAATGAAGAAAAAGAATTGGCCAAATTATCCTTTCAGAAACTACTACACCCACCCCAAGACAGATCTTAATAAAGGGTCATATGTTTGTAAGTGATGTGCCTGACCCACCATCACTAATGCATCTACCGGAAGTTGTGTGTGCCAAAGACAACAGCTAACATGTGTTAGACATTCAAGAAATGCTTGTCTGACCAAATAAAGGGATTTAATGCCTTTTTTCTTTTTCTTTTTTTGTCTGAAAATGTCTTATTCCACTTTTTTTTTTTACATTTTCTTGTGGCAAAATATGTATTTAATAATATATTTGCAATTTCAACTATTTTTATATGTTTAATTAGTGGCACTGACTATACACATAAAAATGGCTGTTTGGCACTTCCTCAAAAAGCTGAACATAGTAATTCCATATGACCCAGCTATTCCACTGTTTGGTATATACCCTGAGAAAATGAGAACTGAGGCACAAACAGAAACTTTTACACCAATGTTCATAGCAGCATTATTCACCATTGCAAGAACATGGAAACAGCCCACATATTCAACCACAATCTAATGGATTAAGAAATTATGGTACATTCACACAATGGAATACTACGCAGCACACAGGAGCAAAGTAATTTTGTAAATTACTTCCTAACTTGGGAGGGACTGGAGAATATTTTGCTGAGTGAACTAAGTCAGTTCCATAAGGACAAATACTGTATAAAATCATTACTGTAGAATGAGTATGAGGATCCAAGGGGGGGGCAGAGGGGTGAGGTTAGGTGGGGAGGGGGTATTAATCATATGGTCATACAATTTGATGGGTGAGCATGGTGAATGAAATGGGAAAGACCCAGCTCAAAAACAATGTATTAGAACTTTGTAAATAAACCAGTATATAGTATTTTTAAATGGTTGATTGATTATACACATAAAAATTATATTCACCAATTGTTTAGCCATTTCAACTACCTATTTCTAAATTTTTTTCATGTGCATAAATGGGCACCCATGGTGGACAGTGTTGGCTGGAGCTGCCCACTAAATCAAGCCTGGAAGCAGGAGCGGCATCCACTTCCAATATGGCTTGCCTCCAGAAATTCTATGTACGAACAGTGCTCAGGCTGTTCGTTCATAGGGTCACTATGAGTCGTCTATGACTCGACGGCACCAAACAACAACAACAACATAAATTCAGTAATTCCCTACTTCACCTTCCTACCTATCCCTAGGCAGTTATGGTGTCCTAATGGATAAGGAGCTATGCCACCAATCCAAAGACACAACGTTCAAATTCACCAGTTGTTTCTCAGGAGAAAGACAGTCAATCTCTTCTTGTGTGATTTACAGCTTCTCAAAACCCAATGACCCTGAACCAACTCATAGCTGACCATCTGCTGGTATTCAGAGGCAATCAGTCACATGGAAGAAGATTGTTTATCTTTCTCCCACAGAGCAGCTGGTGAATTCAAACCACAGGCCTTTGCTTTGGGATTGCAGCACAGCTTCTTGCCACTAGGCTACCAGTGCATTTCCTATACCTATTTATTTGCAGTAAAGTTTAATGAGGTCAAAGAACGTATATGATTTAAACTCCATAAAATATTTTTAGATTTGCTTTTTTAAAAAAAACAAAAACCAAAAAACAACCACGCCACTGAAAAGTCAACTATGAGTCAGTTGTGAGTCAATGGTACATAATGAAAACAATCCATTCCTGGTAACTACTAATAAACATTTGTCCCTGTGCACTTGTCTCCTCTATATTTCATTTAAGTAGAATCATAAAAATTCTTCTATGTCATTCATTCAACATAATGTTTTCAAGGTCCATCCATGTTGTAGTGCATATCAGAATTCCATTTCTTTTAATGGATGACTACGATTCCATTGTGGGGTGAACTTCATTTCTTGAGCTAAGTCTCTCTATTCATTGGTAGGGTGCTGGCTGAGATTTGAGGCCCAGTCTGTATCCAAGGAAACAAAAGAAGTCTTGATCACATTGAGCCCCTGGAGGACACAAACTGTCAACTTAGCTACTAACTGAAAGGATGCTGGTTTAAATCTACTGTTGGAAGAAAGGCCTGGAAATTTCTAGTCAAAAGACTCCATTCAATAAAATCCCTATGGAACACAGCTCTGCTCTGAAGCTGGTGCAGTTACCAGGTGTCAAAATTTAGTTGCTGGTAACTGGTTTGGTTTTTTGTGTTTTTAACTACATTATCTCAATTACCTGAGTGCAACAACTCATATAGAAATCTCTTCTCTACACTGCCATGGTGATTAAGACAGCATGGTACTGGTACAATGAGAGACACATAGATCAATGGAATAGAATTGAGAACCCGGAGATCAGCCCATCTATTTATGGTCAACTGATTTTTTACAAGGAGATGAAATCAGTTAAGTGGGGAAACGCCAGCTTTTTAAACAAATGGTGTTGGCAAAATTGGAAAAAGTATCTGCAAAAGACTCAAGCAAGATCCACACCTCACTCCATATACAAAAACCAACTCAAGGTGGATCATGGACCTAGGACTAAAACCAAGAACTATAAACTTGATTAAAGAAAAGCTATGAACAACGCTAGAAATCCTAATCCACAACATAAACAGTCTTCCAAGTATCCTGAAAAACCTGCAACCAGGAGATAGATAAAAGCAGAAGATAAAGTAGATGAATGGGATCTTCTAAGAATCAGATCCCTATGAACATCCAAAAACGTCTCCAACAGGGTAAAAAGGGAAGCCACCGACTGGGAAAAAGTATTTGGTAATGACATATCAGATAAGGGACTTATATCCAGGATTTATATAATACTTTAGTACCACAACAAGATAACGGTAAATATCATCCAATAGAAAAATGGGCACAGGATATGAACAGACACTTCACCGAAGAAAACATTCAGATGGTTAACAAGCATATGAAGAAATGTTCAAAATCCCTAGCTCTAAGAGAGATGCAAATTAAAACAACTATGAGATATCATCTCACCCCAGTCAGAATAGCAAAATTTAACAGAACAGCAAGCAACAAATGTTGGCGAGGTTGTGGAAAAACTGGAACCCTTATTCACTGTTGGTGGGAGTGTAAAATGGTGCAACCACTATGGAAGGCAGTATGGCACCTTCTCATAAAGTTGCAAATAGAGATACCATTCGACCGAGCAATTCCACTACTGGGAATATACCCCAAAGAAACCATAACTGCCACCCAAGCAGATAAATGCACACCCATGTTTATCACGGTTTTGTTCACAGTAGCAAGGAGTTGGAAACAACCTAAGTGCTCATCAACAAACAAATGGATAGAGAAGCTGTGGTATACTCACACAATGGAATACTATGCTGCATTGAAAAATAAGAAACTCATGAAATATTGTTCAAAACAGGTGACCCTGGAGGACATTATGCTGAGTGAAATATCTCAGTCACAAAAGTACAAATACTGCCTGATGCCACTGTTGTAGAACGGGACTGACATCAGGGTTGGGGTAAGACTGAGAAAAACAGGATAAATTATGTATACTGCATTGAAACAGATGAGAGAGAGAATAATTTAAAAGTGATATATGATAAGGTATTATGGTTATCACAAGAGTCCAGAATGAAGATTGTGTAGTGGAGTGTACTCATGGCGGAGGGAGTAGAGCAGGGGGATTGTATACCAAAGAAGGAATCTTTCTTTTGCTTTTCAAAGAGAGGAGCAAACTGGGTGGGGGAGGGTGGGCAGGGAGAAAAGTGCAACAATGAATGAATGGAAATCCAAAATCTCTGTAAATGTTCATTCACATTAATAAAATAAAATTTAAAAAAAAAAAAAAGAAATCTCTTCCTCACCCAAAACACTCTAAGGGGATTTTGGGCAAGGACAGCTACTGACCTGATAGGTCCATTTTTTTCCTTCACTTTGCGTAGTTTCAGACTTGGCAGAGGCCCTCCGTGTACTGTTAAAAATTCTACTTCTGGACGGGGAGGTTCTAAAAGCACGTGGAAAAGAAGAAAAGGAAACAGTCAGAACAAGTGAAAAGTCACAAGGAGAGTCTCTGGGGCCATAAACAGGAAACTTTGAATGTAAGAAAGGGGTGAGCCTGGCCCAGTAACTAACAGAGCATGAAGATGTGCTTGGCAGGCAGGTTCTTATGTAGCAGAGAAAACAGACATGCCAGATCTTTTATAATCAAAGACTTCTCATACTACCTTCCCCAGCAATAAGATTTCCCATGTAGGGTTTTCTGTTGAGAGGAGAACATAGTAAAAGGCTGGTATCTAATCAAGGAGCCCTGTGGCATAGGTGCTAACTAAAAGGCTGTCTGTTTGACTTCACCAGGCACTGAGGGGGAGATGGGCCGTCTCCTGTAAAGATCCACAGCCTCAGAAGCCTGATGAAAGGCTGCTCAGAGTCTGAATCATGTCAACAGTGATGGTTAGTTTGTGTCTAACTTGTAGTTACAGTCACATTGTAAATGCACCAGCTGGTATTCTGGGTATGAGCTATGGGTAACACAGCTAACAAGTTGTTATTGAGTATTATCAGGTTGGAACTGACCCATAGCTGACACTCCAGAGGTTTTCCGAGGCTGTTAATCACACAAGAGGAGATTGCCCATCCTACTCCCACACAGCTAACATGTACTGGGCACTAATCATGTGCACTGGATATGTCCCCTTCATGCCTCAAATTTTTAATCTTCTCACCAATGTTATTAAGTAGGTAAAATTTATAGAAGCAGTTGTTTTCTCTTCCTCTTTCTATTCCTACAAAGTGAGTAGGCCCTGGGCCTATTACCCCTTTAACATTCAAATTCATTGATGTAGAGTTGGAAGTAGCTTGCAGCCAACCCAAAGGAAAAATTTTGGAGGCTGTCATCTCCAGAGTTATCAGACCTCCATTTCGGTGCTTCAGGGCCAGGCACACTTCAATAATCTGGATGCCCAGCTCATAATAGAAGTCCCCCACATCTAGCATTTCAGACCAAAATACTTTTCCAGAGGCCAAAGGATCCACCCCAATGGTGGCACACATGTCCTAGAACTGCACTCAGAACTTGAGATTCTTGCGGATTTCCTGCTTATGTTTGCTGGCAAACTCCTCTAGGTTTGTCTTGAACATGTCCTACTGTTTTGACATCTGGGCCAACTGATCCTCAGCCAAGACCATTCCTCGTTCCTTATACTTGGCCTCAGCAAGTTTCTTCTTGGCGATGGAGCCGGCTCCAACCCCACGGTGATGCATCCCGGCCCTGAGGCCCCCGGGCAGCCAGCTACCGGGAACCTGGGTATCTGCATCCAGGGATCCGCCAGCAGCCAGAGGCTGTAATCTCAAGAGAGATCAGACCATGATGGATTCAAACCACCAGTAGCATTATGTTTGGATCAGCTGAGCAACCCTGTGGACAGCACCACTAAAGTTCCCTCTGCTTACCCCATGTTGTTATTTTTATGTACCACTGAGCTGGAATCGACACATAACCTCCAGCAGGTTTTCAGAGGTTGTAAATCACATGGGAGAAGATTGTCCGTCTCTCCCCTGCAGTGAAGCTGGTGGATTCAAATCACCCACCTGTGCGCTGGCAATGCATCTCTATCCATGATGTCACCTGAGCTCCCTAATTATCCCATAGTTATGGCCTAAAGTTTACACGAGAAGAAGTTTCAAGAGTCTTAATTGCAGCCCCAAAAATAAGCTAATAAACTGACAGGTTGATACTTACCTGACTCTTATGTATATTTTTCAATTATTCTTAAAATGGAACAAACACATGATTATTACATCCAAAAAGCTTGTTTTAATAGGTGAGGAATGAACATGCAGAGATATTAGTAACATGCCTAAGAGCATATAGTTAGTACGTTGTTGTTGTTGTTGTTTACCATCAAGTCAGAACTAACCTATAGCTGACCCTCCAGTGGGTTTTCAGAGGCAGTTAATTGCATGGGAGGAGATTCTCTATCCTTCTCCCGTGGAGTAGCTGGTGAGTTTGAACCATGTACCTTAGGGATTGCAGCAGAGTTTCTTACCACGAGGCCAGTAGCAAAGCCAAATAGTTTAGTCGATTCACCTCTATGACATCTCCCTCCTTCCATTTAAATCCCTTCAGTGTTTGGACACTGGATTGATCTATTGGCTTTTATCACTTTTGAGTGAGCTAATAAAATTCACTTGTAAGACATTGGGTCTATGAAGTTAGAACAAATACATAAACTCTGGGAAAACAATCCATGTGTTACCATCCCTACAAAGTCACAGATGTACCTGGTGGGCTAATGTCAGAGAAGCTGGGCTGTAAGCTCTAGAAATTATCGTTCTCATAGAGTAAAAGATGATGGTTCTGGGTTAGGAGTCTGACTTTACCATTTAAACCTCCAATTGCTCATCTGTGAAATGGGGCAAAAGAATGCCTGATCTTGTTGAGAGAACTAACAAATCCATACGACTAGAGAATTTAGACGAGTGACTGGATGTGCGCATGTACATTAGTTGTGTGTATTATGTCATTGAAGGTCCACTAGGATACCTCTCAAGTCTATTCTTGAGATTTTTCTTAGCTTCAGGGGGGACAGACTCAGAGTCGTATTTTGGTTCTTGTGGACTAGTGTTCCTTTTCTTCAGCTTCAATTTTAACTTGTATATGTATATTCATGGTCTTTTTCACAGTCAGCACCTAGCCTGGTTTTGACTGCCAATATCGTGCTTCTCTAACAAGTCTTTCCACAGAGACAGTCAATCTGATTCCTGCGCAGACTATCAGGTGAGGTCCATGTGTAAAACTGCCTTTTGTGGTTTTTTTACAAATATATTTGCTATGAATAAATTATTGAGTGTGCAAAATCCAATCATTCCATCTCCAGCTTTACTTCTATCATCAGTTCCATACATTGTGACTATCATTCCTTCCTCATTGTTTCCAATTTTTGCATTCCAGTCACCTATAATCATTAATGGATCTGAACTGCATATTTGGTCAATTTCAGACTGCGAAAGTTGGAAGATATCCTCAATTTCCTCCTCTTTGGATTTAGTTGCTGGTGCATATATTTGAATAATAGTCCCATTAACAGTTCTTCTTTGTCTGTGTAAGGATAGTGTCCTATCTCTCACAACCTTGTCCTTTAGGATAGATAGATCTTTAAATTGTCTTTTAAACTATGACTGCAATACCATTCTTCCTCAATTTTTCATTTGTAGTATCATAAATAATATGACTGGGTCAAAGCAGCCCATATCACTCACTAATGTCTAGAATGTCATCTTCATGTGTTCCATTTCATTTTGACCACTTCTAATGACTAACACATGCAACCCTGGATATGATCACAGTCCTTCACACAAAGGGCTTCTGAGAATATTTTCTAAGGTGCTGTCTCCTGTCTCCCAGGCCGCCATCTTGGCAAATCTGCTCTCTTTTCCATTAGCCTCCTTACATATTTAAACCAAATCAGTCCATGGTAAGAAATTGGTCTTGTGCAGGCTGTAAAATATAGCATGGCCACTTTGAGATCCAAGAGGAACCAGAAGGAAGATTTTTTATCATTTTTTTCAAGACAACACTATCCAGGGCTCTGCTACGACAAAGGACACAGGAAAATGCAAGGACTACCTACCATGTGAGATAAGCTAGAAAAGTAAGGGGAAAAGTCATTCAGGAGAATCTGCCTCAAAAGTTTTAAACAAAAAATTCCAGGTGCAAGCACAGGACAGATAAAGCAATGGTAGCAGCTAGACAGCCCAGAAATAGAGCCCAATGAGTAAATCAAACCATTGTATGTGACAAGAGAAATACTACAAAAAATGATGGGCAACTAGTCTATCATTTGGAGAAAAATTGTTATGTAAATAAGTCATTTGTTTTGTCTCTCACTCTACATAAAAACAAAGTCCATATAGGTCTAACATTTAAATATGAAGATAAAAAGTATCGGAGAAATACTAAAATATTAGAGAATAAGTACTGATCTGATTTCAGGAGACTTTCCTGGGTCTTCTGTGACAACAAAGGAAGAAACTGTAAAGGAAAAGAATGGACAGAATTTACTGCCTGAACTTTGGAAATGTCCAAAGGCCAAAATACACAGTAAAAGAAAATTGAAGAATATATAACCTGGGGGAATTCTGTATAATATGTATAACAAAAGATCAATACTACTAATGTAGGCAGACTATTAAAATCATTAAAAGGAAGGCAGTAGTCCTTTCACACATGTAGATGTGTTAAAATTCCCTTAAGACCCATCAAAGGAGCCTAAATGGTTTGTAATGAGCAAGGAGTTTGTATTGAGCTGCTATCGTAAAGATTGGCTGTTTGATCCTAGCCAGCACCTCTGTGAAAGGGAGTGCTGGAAATTTGCTTCCATAAAGATTACAGTCGAGAAATCTCATGGAGCAGTTCCACTCTGCCCATAGGGTTGCAGTGAGTTGGAATCCATTTGAAAGCAAAACAACAACAAGATTTGAGTTGGAAACACAGCTCCTTACCATTAGGCCCCTAGAGCTCCTTTGTGGGGTAGTTGTTGTTATTAGTTAATCAACCAAAATGAAGAAAAAAATTCTCTGCACTCAAAACTCAGCAAAAGTCTCAATATTGTGCAAAGGAATGAAAACACAGCTCCAAGAGTTTAGTACAATACAACTTTTCTGAAAATTCTCCATTAAGGAGTAGGGAGGAAGGGGAAGCAGCGTGATGTACTGTTTTTGTTCCACTCCTCAGGCACTTCCTCACATATACTCAAATCATGATAAAATAAAGCTGGTGTCAACAGGAAAAAGTGGTGACTTATATTATAAATCATCAGCTGTCCAAAGCAAGATACATTTCCTCTATCAATAAAGTTATGGGACTGTGATGACTTGGGGAGGAAGAGCAATTTGCTTTCCATTTTTACATCCCCTCAGCACAGCACACAGGCCTTTGTTAAGTATCTAATCAATAAGTATTTGCTGACTTGAATTGTTAAGTCTCAGCCCACCCTTTTCCCCTCC